ATGTGGTCTTGCTCAAACCTTTCCCGATACTCCCTTTACAATTATGCTGAATACAACATAAATCATATTTGAGATAGACAAATGCAATTATATGCAAGAAACTGGATAGGAAGAATGGAAAATGAGAAGATGCTAGGACAAATCTCCAGAATAGGACTCCAAAACCTATAAAACCTGTTCTGATCAATCAACACAGTAACAATGTATCTCAACCAGCCCTTTCTTAAAGCAGAACAGAATCTAGATCATGATACCTTGTGAATACTAAGAAAACATGGCTTTCAGTTTCACTTGAATCCTAAATTTTAATCTCTCAGAGAATAAGAAAGATCGATAATATGATTGAGGAGATAGTTATAGAACTCATGTATAATCAATACAGATACATATTACAGAAATACAATCTAATGTTTGTAGGACAAGTAATCAATTACACAGGAACAAGGATATTATACTGGAGAGAACTGGATGCCATAAATAAAACAAGGAAAAGAGGTAGCCCAAAATGATATAAAAATCTCATAGCAAGGCTTATAAGTACAGCTAGAGTACAAGACAAAATGGAGAACACAACACATAACCACTCAACATTTGATCAAGGAAAATCATTAACAGAAATTAACACCTACCATTCACATTGGAGGGTTACATTAAAACAAGACAAAGTAGTTATAGGCAAGAAAAAATGCAATAACAGTCCTAATATAGTAATTCTCATATACTACGCAAGAACAGAAGAACAATTATCAGTAGAAAGATGCAAAGAATGTGATCTTAACAAAGGGAAGAACACACCACCAGGATTGTGTACTTTCTTAATCAAAAAATAGCATGCAATTCAATCCCAATAGAGCATTTAAGTATATCAACCAAAGAAAACAAGGACAAGATCACAGCCACACTGTGTTGCAGAATTTCTTTAAAGTTCACCATCAAAGAACTTAGCAACTTGATAGAAACTATATAAACAGAAAAACCTTACATGCAACTTAACATCAACAACAACAACTGGTGAGCAATCAGCTTCATCAAGTTCTTTACTCTTAACAAGCTGGAACTGAACATTCTGATCATGATCCAAGGACAAATAAGAGACTACAAGATAGTTACAATCTATACAGATGTTCAGTACAAACTATGGGAACTAGCCACACATGGGCTTCAACTAGATATTCAAAGATGAAACAGAAACTAAGCACTCCTTCCAAGGACAAACCCAGTTACATGCCTCCTTAACTAGAGCAGAGATAATGGTAATAACAATGATAATAAATACCTTCAACAAGAACACAACAGTACACCCATATACTAATAGTCAAATAGCAATAGCAAACTTAACAGAAATTTTGAACCCCACAAGCCTCAAGCAAAAGAAGAAACCCAACCAAGCATTAATTAATATTTTAATCACATTAAAAAACAACAAAATCTACACATAACTTTTTACAAAGTGAAGGTGCACTCTGGAATCCTCCTTAATTAAGAAGTGAACAAGTTAACTAGGATTAATCCTACATCACAACACATGAAACCTAATTGGAAGATCATAAACATAAAGAGACAATACCAGGAGTTACCCCTTATAGAAACAACATGGGACACAACAACAATAAACATTCCAGAGAAGAACCTAGTAAAACAAGTCAACAAAGCTATTAGACTGACTAAGTGAAAATTATTCAATAGAACATAAAACAACTTCATAGACGAGAATTTCAGAGACATATATTGGAAGCACACATTTGCCACCTTATACCCATCTAGAATAAATGCACATAACACATCAGACCACTATTACATGTTAAAATTCAGATTAAATCTTTGGTATGAAGAGCTTCCAATTCTACACAAACTATACGATTGTTTTCTCAATTTACAAAGATAACAAATGCTTCAAATTTGATATAATCGAAGACATAACACATCTCTTCATATATTGCAACAGCATAGAAACATTAAAGAGGAATTTCTATAGGATCTTAATAAAAAATGCCTTATCAAAAGTTAAGAAGAAACGCAAGAAAACTTTCAAGGACACATATATAGGCATTCCAATTGAACAATCCCAGGAAGCTCAGACTACTAATAAAAGGGGCAGTTCTAAAAGAAATTCCATGTGTACTGGAAACAATCCTAACAAACAGAAATGCCAAACCCAAAACTATTATAAACACAATGAAGGAATGAAAGGAACTACTATATGACATATGGAAAATAAGATAAGATATGAGGTAATACAAAATCCGAGGAAAGTACAAGGCATACAAAGATGGAACAAATGGATAAAAACCAGAACAGAGAAGTATAAGAAGCAAGCGAACCCAGTGGTGACACAACAATTTTTTTTAGACCTAACTAGAATAATAAATAATTATATCAACAGCTATATAAAGTATTAAACAAATATTTTTTCTTTTTTATCTTTTTATATGACAACTGGCACAGCTCCAGCATGTTAGTTTCTCTTCCTCAAGGGAAGAGCAACAGGTCACGAGATAGCAAATAGTTTATTGAATTTTATTATTACTGAATATATATCCTTATACTATAGTTTTATCACATTTTATATATGTAATTTGAAGAAAATAATAAAACGAGACTGTGCCAATCAAAAAAATATATATATATATATATAAATTTTATAATTTGTAACTATATAGTTAATGATTTAAAAATTGTCAAAATTGAAATTTATAATAAAAACATAATAAGTGAACTCAAACTTTTGAAAGCAACTGTATAATATACTCAAACTAAGAACTCAAAGAATTTTAAAATAAAGAATATTTTTGAAGTTATTTCAAAAAAATACATGCTAAAGATATTGAAAAATCTTGTGATAATTGATATCAGTCAAAACAGAATAATATTATTAGATAAAGTATGAGATAGCGACCATAGTATTGAATATATCTCAAGAATTTAATGAATATTTTAAGTATATGGTAATAAGTTAAGAAGAAATTTGCATATGATATAGTTTCTTACTTATGAAGAATGAAAAATTGACTGAAATAGTTCAGGTCTCTGCTTTTCTAGAAATTAATATACCACTGAATTAAGGTCTTGGAATAATATCACTTACTAAACTTCATATTTGAAAAAATATAATCAAAAGATTGGAACAGAAAATTTCTGCTATTCTGTAATAATACATCATTTTTTCTCTCTTTTCAGAAATTAATTTAGGCTCTGTTTTTCTTTACTTGACAGAATTTGCATAGGAATTTGATTTATTGTCTTTAGTATAAATTCCATATCACAATTGCAATAATGCAATTTAAGCACAAACACTATATACCTTCCTTTTTTTTTCTTTCTTTTTCTTTTCTCCTTTCTCTATTCCTCCCAAAAAAATTTTCAACACTGATTAGTCTTTGATTAGTAACAAGAGATCCCCTGTATCAATAGATGTTGAATATTTTGTTGCAGGTTCTATCATGTTAGTCCTGTAATGGGTAACAACAAGCTAATTGGTGGAAACATCTTAGAATATATTCTAGATAAAGTTCTCCTCAATTATACAGTTTATGTATTTGATGTGAACATTTGGTATTCCTGAATAGGTTATGATTTTGTTTTTAGAAGAGAAGTATTTACACTAGATGGTCATGTATTTTTCTCTATCCCAATAACCATTTTCACATCATTTTCAATCAAATTACTTTATTTTCATTTTCTTATAAAATAATTATTTTATGACCACTTGTTTTATTGGTATGGCGAATCAATTTGTATGGTTTTTAATATTTTAATATCATGATCCAAATTATCATTTTATTAAATATATCTTAAATTAATGGTCGAATTATGGATAAAAAAAAAAAAAAAGTAATCAAACCATTTGATACGGTAGGTCAAAAATAAATAATTGCTAACTAAAAAATCGCATTCTTTTCTAAATTATGGTTGATTAAAAAGCAATTAGTAATAATATGCTAGAATATGAAACTAATTATATAAAGTTTAGAAAAATTGATTAATGAACAAGATGATTTAATCGAAAAATAGCCATCACTAGGAAATTAATGTGGTCGCAAAAGTTTTTGGGGGCATTCTAATTGTGACCACATGTTTAACCGATTTTTAGAAATAATTCCAGTTACAGTAAACTATAAATTTCATCGATTTCATAATTTTTACGGTTTTCGATAAAATTATTATTTTTAATTTTGATAGTATAGCATTTCTTGTATAGGAAATAAGAATCTTGGCATTAAAAAAAAAAAAAATTTTTTTTGCAAGTCACAGAGATAACATACTCCGCATGGTATCACAAAGAGATGATGCCTAAAATTTTGTTTGCCAAATAAACAGCTGCGAGAGATAAATAAACAGTTGGTGCGTATTATTAATTTAGTTGTGCCAGCATAAAAGGGACCACTCGTTCTTGTTTAGACATGTGGTTGATTGACATGTTCATGTTCAATGCAGTACAAGCGATCTGCCGTATGACCACATGAAATGGAATTGAGGTAAAGGATACGTGCGAGATGTGTGTCATAGAATGATTACTTGAGTAGAAGAACAATTGGTAAAGATGTTATTTACCTTCTTTATATATATACATACTGTATATACACTACATATTTCTATTTTTTCTTTTCTTTTTATATTCTTCATTTTATTATTGGTTTTCTTTTCTATTTTTCTTTTTACTTTCTTTTCAGGGTATAAAACGCGCGACTTTCATTTTTCGCTTTGAAGAGTGTGTGATTCGTGTTTTTTTTATTAATTAGATCTCCAAAGATAATGCACTACTACGTACAGTATATTGTTAATTTACAGAATGTCAGTGTTTTAAGGAATAAAGAAAAAAATAAAAATAAAATGAAAATGCTACATAATTGTGAAAAAAAAAAATTAAAAAATCAAGATTTACAGGGGTATCGGTATTAATTATACAAAAAATTTCACGAGACTCTTTAACTCAAAGCAGACGCCACCATTATGCCCTTGAAGTCATGTGATAAAATACAAAAAAAGTTTTCATGGATTTCTCAGTCGAAAACATCATTCCCTAACACCGTTTCTATCAAATCGTATAAAATGACTGAGATCACCGTTAGGAGCGCACCCGCTGAACAGATGTAAGTAATCCATAGTCGTTTCTTGGCTGACACCGGGAAAGCTTTAAATCGTTCGGGGGGAATCTCGAACACGAAGGAGTCACTTTTTTCACTTTTGCTGTGTTCCGACGAGGATCTATCTGTCTCAACTATGACATCTTGATGGCCGCCTTCCTCACACAGTACAATCGTCGGTATGCTGGTTCTTTGCGAGTTAATTTCAGTGCTTGGAGGTGGCGATACACGACGACGATTGGATGTTATGCGATTTAGAATCGGTATCGATTGGAGACTTCGGGCGATGTAACGGCTATTTGAGTCTTCACATACAGATTCGAATTTTCGTGATGTTGGAACTGGCGGAGCGGACACTACTCGACGTTCTGGATTGCCTTGTGACGGTGGTGGCAAAGTTGAGATTATTAAGCATCCACTATCGTCCACATCCAGGACCCTGAGATCAGGATTCGTTGCTGAATCATCGATGTTGTTACCATTTAATATGCCCAGAGACGCGTCTGTTGTATCACGTGATATTTCCTTGGCGATTGTCTGTATACCTATCCAGTCTTTGATGGACCGAGCGCTTCTCACCGAGGCTTGTCGTTTGACCTCAGCTATACAAACAATTCATCGACAAAAGGGTTAAATGGTAAGAAATATAAATAAATAAATAAATAAATATATATATATATTACAAGGAGCACAGATATTATGGTTGGTTACCTTCAATCTTCACCAATTTTATGTTTGCTTCTACAGCAACTTCGGGTTTCTGACTCAGGTAGTACAGGTAGAATGGGATGATGAAGTTGCAAAAGCTCGTGAAGAATACGTTCACCCAATTAACAAACGTGTTGAGCCAGGTTCCGGTTTGGAAGGGCATCACGATGATCCATGGAAGAATGCACGCGAGGAAGGTTGCCGAAACTATCAATCGCTTATCGATTAACGTCTGATCGTACCTTTTTCAAAGTCGATTGTCCAATCATATAAATTTGTTACCTCTTCCGCAATGTCCCGATCGAATCAAATTGTAACGAATGACAATAGTGTATACAGGGATACTTGTAATCAACACTGCAACCGGGAACACATAAGTGCTGGCCGTGGTCAACCAATTTTTTTGGTTGGATTCATTCATGACGGCGATAATGTCCGACGTTGGATTAATTTGAAATGCCATCCCACCAACCACCCCGAGTAAGATGTAGCCCGTGGTCGCGATTAGATTGGAATACCACACGGATTTCCGTATGGAAACATTGGGACGCTATTTTTTCAAAGTTGACGGGTTAAAAAGTGTGCGCCTAAGCTAATTACATGCGAACACGCCTTTAACCTACCAAATCGTTAACCCAACTTGGAACGGTTGTAATGAAGGCATAATTGAATATCACTGTTCCAATGACATCGCTCATATTTTCACCGATCAGTGGAACGTACGAAGTTTTCAGTCCTTGCTTGAAAAATGTAACGAGCCAACCGCAGAAAATAAACACAAGTCCAAATAACGAGGCTAGGAAAAACACGGGAACATGAAGGTGCCACACGTTATTGATTCTGACGACGAATGTATCTCCTTAGATACTGTATATATATAACACGCACCAATCTGGACTTTGATATTATCTGACAAGGAGAAAATGCTCAGGGGCATAACCATGACCAAAGTAATCTGAAATTAATCGTGTTAGGAATGTCAGTCTTATCGGGTCATCTAAAGTTTCTTTAATTACCCGAATCACCTTACCAGAAATCCTAATGTTGCGACCATATAATTTGTTCCAAATGGACTGTTGAAATCACCTTGTTGGTATACACAGTAGAATCCACTTTCCGGATATATTCCTAGCCCACACGTCTTGCCAAAAAGCGATATCAACACCGTGTCCATTGACTGCGCGGATAATAATATCGAAGCGATGTTGACTGATTGAAGTGACACGAAAAGGAATAGTTGAATGATAAGTCGTGTTCGCTTGTTGGTCACGAGAATTGCGGTGAGATGAGAGAATTCAATTTTGCGCTATTAATAGAATGCACCTAGTTAGATTCGAAAAAATCGAGATCACCGAGAATTTGAATTGGAGATTTACTTGAAATTTATCATTTCCGTCAATCGCACTGGAAGCTTCGCATAGTAGCAGCGAAGCTACACAACTTAGTATTGAGATTAGGACGAATGCACCAACCGTTCTATCAATTTTAAATTGTCTTCATTAGCCTAGCGAATCGAACAGTGAGAGGGGTGCAAAGATTTTTTACTCACACGAACCAACCAGCACTCTGGAATAATATGGGTACTTATGAAAGGGAAGGGATATATATGAATGAGATGTTTATGACTATATCCTATTGAGAACAAAAGGATTAAAAAAAAAAAAACGAGCGGTGATAATACGTAATACGTACTCGTGACAAGCCCAGGACCGGTGATAGAGGAAACGAGCAGGGCGATACTGCCCAAGTATGAAATTCCCTGAGATTCCGGTGTTGCGGTTGTTGAATCCATGTCAAAGGATTTTTTTGTGACATCCAAAGTTGTTAAAAATTGATATATATAGAATCGCTGGAGTTGCATTCAGGTGACTGATATGCAACAAATCTCAATTAAGGTAATTAAGGTAAAAAAAGAAAGCTAAATGTGGTAATTAATTTAAATTTGCGACAATCACGATAAAGGATATTTGTTCTTTCACGCACACACGAATAATGCAAGGGTATGACAAATTTCGTACATGCTTCACCGGTCACAGTTCTATTTGCTATTTTAAACACCTTCTGTGTAAATCTTTGCATTAAAATTTCCGATTGTGTACTGTATAAATATTCGTTCCACAGCACAACTATTTTACTTTTTCCGAAAAAAATTTGCGTTTCCGTAATCCGAAAAATTCATCCGAACATGAACGAATACATCGAAAAACAGCTGTGCTGTTGAAAATGAACAGCAACATATTGAATCCGGTAAGGTAAATAATGTAGACCATATGAAGAGCAGGTTAATGTGGGGGTGTCACCTTTCTCGTCTTCGTGGTCGAATCAAACACTTAAAGTAAATTGTTCGATTCGCTGATGTTTAAGATCTGCAGAAACGTTTTAACGGCGTAGATGTATACACCGTCAATGTGCTGCAAATATCCGAATACACTTATATCTCCCTTTCGATAAAACTCGCTTAATGATTTTGTTCATGACACAATCCTTCTTCATTTTGAGTCACCCAAACACGCATCAACGTGGATCCTGATCATATTCCCAAACATCCAGAGTCTCTAACAATAAAAGTTACACCGAGTCACTCTTACGAGATTGGATTTCTATAGTGACACCATTTCCTGAAAAAGTACAGAACTGACTGAAATATCTTCTGGATTTTTTTTTTTTTTTTTTCAAGTATTTACTGTGGAGTAAAATCAGCGCCAGTCGACGAAATTTTTATTGCCATTCATTATTCAAAATACCTTTATCAATTGCATAGTAATTACCGACGATGTTGTTATTTATTTAATTACAAATTGTGTGCATAATTGTGCAATTCTTTGCGCATAATATATTTTCCTAATTTGGAAATCGGGCCTATACAGATAATCGTCACGACGCAGAAAATATTTTGAAAACAAACCTTCAACGTGCGTTAACTGAATTAAGTGTCTAAAAATATCGACACAACTAATTAGAGCATGGCACTCGGATGACTTGTCAACTTGTACTTTAATGATGCATTTTGTACTTTGCCATAATCACCTCAATACAGCATAACGGAATACTGTGCGTACATTGGCACCTTACTATCTACGTATTACCTGTTCGATTTTTTTTTTTTTTTTTTTTTTTTTTTTTTTTTTTTTTTTTTTTTTTATATAAAAAAAAAAAAAAATTATAACGAGATCACGGTAAAATTTCATGGATTCGAAAGAGATCTCGTATAAAACCGGCCGGGCAGTGTAATACTTTTTCCAATTTTTGCATTCTGTAACACAGGCGATATGGGAATTGCCATAGGTATTGTAAACAAAGATTCAAATCCAACCCATGTGGTCGAAATACTGTATATCACTTACTGGTTAACGGTTACAACAAACTCTCTTCTTTTATCTCTATCTCAATTTACGAATAGTCTTTCGCTGAAATTTGAGAAAAACCAACGGCGATGGTTGTACGATGTGCATGATGCACAGTACAGTAATTCATTATTGCGCTTGATCGGACATTCGATTTGCAGAAAATGATGCAAAGATCACATTAAAATACCAAAATACTCTATATGAACAATGTATTTGGCAATATTTAGCTCCATCGGCTGATTAACTTCGAAAAAAAAATAAAACCCATTCGGCCAAGGCGAGGACGATTGGTGTCACCCTGTTACTCATATACCATAATATAACCCAATGGCCTACTTGCCTCCCTAATTATGGAACCACAAGAATGAACATTTAATTTGTTAAATATTTGATTTGCACTCGGTCGAGGCGAGGTACTGTACATACTGTGATTTTGAGACCAATTTTTGACCAAGCGACAGCGTGTGAATTACGTACGTTCTGATTCCATTCGTAGAAGGGATTCTCCCTCGTGATCAAAAAAAAAGAAGAAGCTTACATTCGGCAATATGGTTTGCCTAACTGCAAGGTCACTCCTTAATTTTCGAGAGGAAGGGTCCGGTGATAATACCTCATGCAATTTCAGTTTTTTTTTGTGAACCGTCCATTGAATAAGCAACCATCTTACGATATGTACTCACATACTGTATCTATCAATATTTGATTATCTCGGTAAATATACTCCAGAAATACGATAAAGTTGTCAATTACCTACGATAATTCCATTTATTTATAAAGTTATAGACCACTTGTTATATTCCAATACTAACACGTCTGCCCCAACCAAAAAAATTCGAATGTCAAGGATTTCTATGATTAGCCCAGTCCAGGATCAGTTAATACTGTATATGGTACTTTCATTCTGGTCTTCGTTACGAAAATCTTGATATTCTGTGATGGATCACAATCTGCAGTGCCAAGAGGTGCACCAATTTGCGTGCTTAATTCTTGAGATGCTTTACGTATACGTATTCGGTAATTAACGTTCTGCATCGGATTTTTGGGGTCTGAATAAGGACGCTGATATACATTACGGTAGGTGTAGCACAGCATTTCGCTAGTTACCCTATCATTATTATTTCCGTTTGATAAAAAATAAATGTTAAATAGGTCGGAACACGATGAAAGGAAAGATTGTCCGATGTCAAAAGTCATACAACACCTCTCACTGCTCTATCCTATCGTTATCGGCTGATTCTTCGAAGTTTATTTATCCCCTTGACCAAAGAGCATCGGTAGTGCTTGATGCTCAATGGTTAAATTTTTACGTAATACGTAACCTGTCGATCTGGTTATCATCAACAACCAATAGGCCGTCTATTATATCAGAATGGAATTAAGAAAATTCTTTAGGCATAATTCCTATGACCGAAAGATGTGTTTTAAATCAAATCTTGTCAGACTTGTTAATTGTCTGATGACAGATGGTTTGATAATTTGCACAAATCAATGTAACTGGCGCAAAACGATGCGGGTCAATAAAAAACGGGATGGCCGTCAAAGGAAACCGAATTCGTGACATTTAATTTAAAGCAAAGGCCTCGAGCAGGCTCCACGACAAATGCACGCATCACACGACTTACTGCAGATACAATAATACACTATAAATTATTAAATTCAATTAAATCTGGTCGAAGGTAATTACATAAATGATTAACGGTCAAACTAAAATTAATTTAATGTCGAACAGTTGACAAAATTATTTTGCCAATAGTTATATAAATCGATTCCCTTTAAGCTATCAAAAGATCATATTAAAATTATTGTTCAATAAAATGGTAAAACTCCTTTCTTGTTAATTATATGCACGTACTGTATATTGTTTCAATTTTTATTTTTATTGTATGATCATAACCTTATAACTTGCTATAATTTCCATTAAAATAAAAATTAGCAGTTAAAATTATGCCAATGCTATAATTAAAATATAATTAAAGCAATAAAATGATTTCATTGGCATACATAAAATTGATTTTTTGGCATCATGTGGATGGTAAAACCAATAGAATCAGTAAAATTAATAGAATCCAACTTTGAAATTTTTTTTTTTTTTTTTTTTTTTTTTTTTTTTTTTTTTTTTTTTTTTTTTTTTTTTTTTTTTTTTTTTTTTTTT